ATTTAGTAAACAATGTATGTTAGGAAGGTTAAGTAATTGATACATTAATAGTGCAATCAATTTCATGTTACTGTTTGTCATCCACTTTCCATATCAGCAAATTAATAACCCCAACTCTCAAAATATTTTATTTGCGAAAAATCAATCAACGAAAAAAAGAAATAAGCATTAGTACCTCCAATCGAAGATTATTGGCGTCGGTAGTGATCTCGATAACAAAACCTATCGTTATAATTATTATTATTATAGTAAGACATCACATTTATAATATTTTCAGTAGATTTCTGATATTCTAGTTTTTGTATTAATCCGATAAATAAATTCTTTATTACTATCCTATGCACCTACCTAATTAATATTATGCAAACTATAAAAAATAATTGGTTATCGTATTAGAAGTTGGATGAAGAGATTCTCGTAATTTAGTTATGTTAGGATCGGGGTCGGCATTAAGGGAGGGGTGTGAATTAGTGCAGCGGTAAGATAACGACGGTTTAAAAACTCTCGTACGATAAAATCGTTTCCGACGTAAAACCGTTTCGGAAAGTTCTTCAACTTAAGAATAAACTGAAGTATAGTTGACGTAAAACAACGGAGGCAGTTTGCAGTTAAGATAAGAAGCAGAATGTAAATGCAAACCGAGATTTAGAGTGGTTCGGTCAATCTTGACCTATATCCACTTTTGGCTTCCTCCTTCGACGAGATCATCGACGTCTACTAGAGGCATTCCTTCAATAGGCGAAGACCAACCACCCTTTTACAGCTTTACTCCTTTTGACGGGCTTAGGAGACAACCGTTATAGATTTCCACTCCTCTCTTGAATGATCAAAACTTAGAAAAAAAGAGGGAGAAGAACTTCTAGCCTTTTACAACACTTTTAAGCACTCAAATTCTCAGAATAAATGCAAGCTTTCGGTTATCCTATCATGCAGAAAGGGTGAGGTTTATATAGGCTCCAATCAATTTGAATTTGGAGCTCAAAAGTGTCATATCCCGGATTTCTAGGGTCCTGGTGGTACCATTGCTAGAGCTGGGCGGTACTACTGCCTGACGTCGCTCGGAGACCGAGCTCAGGCGGTACCACCGTCTGACAAGGGTGGTACCACTACATGACAGGGATGGTACTACCGCCCAGAATTCCTAGGAGACCAAGTCTCATGGGCGGTGCCACCATCGCCCAGGAAATCTGGGTCCGAATGGGCTGATCCATTCGACCCAATTTGGGTCTGTCAAGAGCCCAATTGGCCCCAAATTAAGTTAATGGGATCACCTCCCATTTCTAACTTAATCTTCATGCTAACTACGACATTTAAGACATTAATACTACAACGCATGTTCCGGTGCGTCAATCGCTTCTTTCGACGAACTTCCGGTGAACATCTAACGAACCCTTGGCGATGCTCCGGCAGACTTCTGGCAAACTCCTGGACTTGCGATGATCCTCTTGACGAGTTCCGACGAGCTTCTTTGGCACGCTCTTGGACTTCTCCGATTTATTCCCGCAAAACCTCCGACGACTGTCCGGACTTCCGTCGAACTCTCGAACTCCCAACGTGATCTTGGTCTTGACTCCGACTCAACACCTACTGCATGTCTTACTGCCATCGTAGTTAATCCTACACATGTAAAACAAACTTCGATCTAGATAATTAATACTAAGTATTAATCAAGTTGTCCGGCATGTCATCGGTCTCTCGACGTTTAGTCCGATTCTTTGGCGCATCGTCCTCTCCTACGGCTTATTACCCAATCGGTCAGTTGACTCCGCAACTCCGATATCCTTGGCGCAATACCCGCTCTTCTTGGCCCGATGCCCGAATCCACAGCCCGAAGCCTTCTGTCGATACGTTGACCGATCCACCGACCCGACGTCCAATCTTCTGACATGTTAATCCGGCCCAACATGATTTTTTCTGCTTTAATTGTCTCATCCCGATCGAAGCATCATACGTCACTTAAAAAGCATATTAAAATATAAACACAATTATCAATTGATTTCATCACGAAAATATGAGATTCAATAAGTTATATATTATATTTTTTTTTTTACGTAAAGTTTTAGTCTCGATAAATCGATTATCTCACTAAGTCAAGATGATATTAGAATCAATCTAGTATTTATCCGTGACTACTAATTATCTACTTAAATGGATGAATCGCATGACTCGATGTAAGTTAGTTTCCCATTGACATGCTTTTGGAAAAGAGCATAAGTCGCTTTTGTCGAAGCCTTTTCTTCTATCCAATGCAAATGTCTCATGCGCAAAAACCTCAGTTTCATAACCCCAATAGGAAAAGTCACAAACTTTACTTTGACAACAACATATGCAACATTTTCGTTAGAAAAAGAAAAGATCATATTTTTTTTCTTTTTATAGATAGCTAAATGTTTTGTTACGACATTGATAATTACTTTCAAAGACATCTTTTACGATCCATTCCGAAGGAAAAAAATCATGCATGATCACCATGGAGCTTAGAGACGTCGACTCCCGTAACATCGATGATCTATAATATGTTATAGGATATAATTTGTTTTTTAGCTCTATAGGGTATTTGATTTGTATCACCATCTCAAGAGTTAAGAGTTAGTATTGTTCATCTGTCAATCTGATCAGAGTGCCTTTTAAGTCAAACATAAGTCAATCTGACTCCCCCATTGGCTCTCTTGCCTTTCACAAAGGATATGAGTGATCTACTTTCACTTTTGTGAATGCTTTTACTTTGAACTCTGATACGTTGGTATCTTCCTCATTTCCTTTATCTGATCTCTCCTTAGCCCCAAAAGTTCAGTTATCTCAAGTCCATCATCAATCTTTTCCTCATAATATCTGTGAGTTTTACCTAAAGAGCAATATTTTTTATTATTTTCATAAAAAAAAATTACTAAAGTAGAAAACCAATTAGAGGTTTTTTGGTTGCCACCTCCTATTCTCCTCTCCCCTTCTCCCGATATAATTATCGGATTCATTTATCAAAAATTAATATTATGACATCTAATCCGATAATTTTTTTTATGCCAAACTAAATATCATTTAAACAAAAAAAGTATTGATAGAAGTCAGAGATTGAGAAATTGGAGAGTATTTGATGGCTAGAAGAACATTGTTACAAGTACAGTATTGCTGAGTAGTGAACAAGCTCTTGCATTTCATCATAGTTGGAAGTACATACAATCTGTCATACAAAATGCCCCTCCAAGAAATCTACTGGACCTCTCAGGCAATACAGTTGAGGCACAGACAGCCTGCCCAAAACTTCCAAAGCAACTTCTTCTGCAAAATGCAAACAAGAACATGAAGAACACTCCATAAAATCCCACCAACAAAAGAAGAAGAAGAAGAAGAAGAAGAAATCACTTGCCTTCTTTGGTATTTGATACAGCAGCTCCGGAGGTATCTTGTAAAGGTCTTCATCAACAGCTTTAGGCTTCCTCCTCTTCCGCTCATAGTACACCTTCTTCCCTTCTCCTTCGATTCCTCTCCTCTTTCCCTGCACCAAAGCCTCGCACACTGTAACTACATCCCAAGGAGAAACACCAGAAAGGATGCAGTAGTAGAACAGATCGCTCCCTACCGTCGTCTTGGGCTGATGCCCGTAAGGCGACAACACCTTGAAGAGATCCTCGCCATCTCCCACGAAGAAGTGAGCTTGGACGAAGTCGGTGTCCATTATCGACTGCAAGCCTTGTGCTATCGGCTTCTCATCGTAGAAATTCCAGTCGCCAAAAGCCGACACCTTGTAGCCTTTCATCACATCCTACACATGCATACACAGCAAACATGAGCTACTTAGCAACCATCGCCATGGCTGGTTCAGCTACCACAGAGCCTCTTCTTTACCTCCATGTTTCGAAGGCGCAAAGAGAAGAAAGGACAGCAAAGAGAGGATGAGAGAGAGAGAGAGAGAGAAAGAGAGAGAGGGAGGGAGTTTGTTGTCACTGGTGGAAGTGGAACAAGGACGCGAGGGGGTTCTTATAATGGGACCAAAGGCCGGAGTGAGGTTTGATTACTTTGAGGGAAAAGGGTGGGAGAAGGGATGGTCTCATGGCCTGCGTGCTCTCATGCTGATAAAGTTGGAGCTTTGGTGCTGCTTTCATTATGCTGCGTTTGCAACAAAAGGGAAGCATCCATGGCAGTTTGCTGCCTTCCCACGCCTGGAGACTCGAGAAAAGAGGAGGATGGGCCATCTCTTGCCTCCCTGACTGCCTGCCTGCCTGCCTGCCATCAGAGAAGACGCGAACAAAGAGAGGGAGAGAGGGTATATAGCAGTCAAAAGAATTCATCCATGGCAGTTCATCAGTCTGCTTAAGCCAACACGCATGGAAAATGACCAGTATACACACAAAATGTACATTATACGAAGGTGGGGGGCTTTAATTTGTTGTTATGCTTACACAGACAAAGATGACACACTAAAAAAGATGAGGAACACGCATGTATGATCATCTCGTGTATCAAAAGCCGCATTCATGCATGCACATAAAAGGCGAAGGTAATAAAGAAAAGACAAGCACATAATTAAAGCTCGTCCCACTGCCGGGGGGGCTATGATGAGCCCATAACCTACGCTCATCTAATGCACCAAACACACTAATCAAACCTCAACCATTTTTCATTGGCTTTCTCTCCCAAAAGGCTCCATTTCTCGACGCTTTGAGGAAGCCTCCTCCTCTTCATGAGAGCTTTCGTTTGTCTTTTGTCTTTCTCTTTTGTTCTTCCGCTTTGTTTATTTTTCTGTGCTGTGTCACAATGCTGTCGTCAACATCCTCACCGAAAGCTCTAAGATCGTATGACACTAATCATTTTACGAGTTAAACACCACGCCATTAAACTCTAATCACGCCGGCATTGACTCCTAATCCTCGCTTTCAACGACTTTGAGGTGGATTATGTCAATCCTCCTCCTTGAGGGTTGTGTTTTTCTTTTTCTTTTAATGCGTTTAGACATATAGTGAGTGTCTGCATGATGAAATCTCGATCATTACATCGAAACCAACGTATTAATAGAAATTCTTGGGGACCATTTCATGCATACTCCTCTTCGAAATATGTAAATTATTTCTTATAACCCTTCCCCTCTAAATTAGGATAGCATCAATCAGTTTCTCCAATTTTTTTAGGAGTGTTTATGAGATTCCATATAGTTTTCTTTGAATTATTGTTAT